CTACTTCTTCAAAAATAACAGCATCCTCTGTTCCCACTGCAATAATTAAACATGTAATAAATGAACAAATACAGTAGCAATAATGGTCAATTACAATAATGCATTTATTCAATTACAGTAAAATTACCATATGTAAAAATATAAATGATCATCTATAGTTACATAACTGAACATTATTAATGAAACTACAAAACAGTGATAATCATTAAAAGTTACATGTACAACTTATAATTCCATAAACACAAGTGTATATATAAATGAACATTTATAATTGCATAATTGAACATTATTACAACAAAACAGAATAACAAATGTTAAACTATGTTCACTAGTTAAAATTTATATGAGCGTCTTTAAAAGAATGAAAATAATTGAAATTCACAAGTACAACATATATTTTCGTATACGACTACAATAAACTTATAGTTTACTACGGAAACATACAGTAAACATAATTGAACATTTACTATTACACAAGTGATCATTTTTTTTAACTAAAATTATTTTTAAATGACACACCAAGGTGATAAAAATAATTGGTTTAGCAATATAATAACAACTATAGATGTTCATATAAGACGTACAAAACTGAAAAGGCAACAATCAAATAATAAGATTACAATCAAAATTACAACATAAATCCTAACCGTACTCCTTACTAACATGATTCTTTACTCTTTTTCATTGATAAATCCTACCTAAATAATGATAAAATCTTAGGGAAAGATGTCCCAAATTGCCAGCCAATTTGTCAACAAAAAAAATTATTAAATTAATACTATAAATTTAAATTCTAAGAGTAAAATGGATAAAGTAATGAGTTAGTGACACACCAACCTTTTATGGGATGATCTCCATCCTAAACACTATAAAGTGTTCATATTAGGAAAGTAACATGTTCATAAATAAAATAAAAAATGTTCAGAAATCTAAACAACTTGAAGTAATGATTTAGCATTTTTTTTAACATTTTCTTGAACAATTGTCTAATATGAATATGTACATTTTTAATATACTAGGATGTTCAATTTAAAAGACAAATATATATGTAAATTATGAAAGCTGATAATATGATTATTTCTAATTTACAAATTCCTTCTCATAAAGTTTTTAGAACTCCTTCAAACAACCTTTCTAATAAATTAATATAAAAAGTATTGAATTTTTTTTATTATATACAGATGTTCATTTTCATATTGATACATACTCATTTTATTTTTATTCATGATAATTTAATACTAAACAATTACATGCATTTTATTTAAATGAACAGTTACATATATTTAAAGGTTCATTTTGATACTTAAACACTTATTATATCATGTATTGTATTAGTTATATTTATAAAATTTGTTATATTATGTAACAATGAACACTTACGCATATAAAAATGAACATTAAAATAATACATATTCATAATACTAAATGTTCATTTGCATATTATTGAATATTTTACAATTAGCATATCTTATTATTTTTATGTTATTAACTTTTAGATATGGAGTACTTAGTTTTTAATTGAAAGATGTTTTGTTTTCATTGGTCAATGAATAAATTTGCAAGTGATACGCTAACCGATATAGGTTATTTTAATGCTCCGATCCATAAATAATTGTTCATTTTTACAACCATTAAAAAAATGTTCATTTAAAAAATATTAAATGTTCAATAATAAAAAGTTTGCCAACAATTTCGAAATTCCTTTGTTCGATATTCTAGCCCCATCACCAAGCCAAATCCTTCAAGCTTCCATGCTTTCTCAGTGACAAATGATCCATGGTGGTGGTGATGTGATATGTCTAGTTTATATAGTGTTTTATCCCCGTCCCTTGGTCGTTATTAGTAGTGTTTTTGGCTCTTTCGGGCCACTTTTATTACTAATTTGTGTGTTCTAGTGTTTTCGTAGTTTTAGTTGTATTTTACAGGAAATTGCACTCTTGGAGCATTTTCCCGGGCTTTATTGGATCGACTACGGATGCTAGAAGGACACGACCACTTTCGGAGCCCAGGATCGGTGAGAGCCGGTGATTAAGGGCTCGGTAATTGGGATCACGAGGCATTTGGACCAAGTATTCGAGACCCGAGAGGAAATCCGAATTGGGCCGAGAAATCTAGCCCAATCGAAGTTCAAGCCTCGAAGAAGAAGACTGGGCCCGATCGGGCAAGTATACGCCCGATCGGGCGGCTGCGCGCATAAGGACCCTCAAGGAAGAGGTGCGCCCGATCGGGTGAACTAAGCTCGATTGGGCGCGGCACATCAGTAAAGGGCATTGTAAAAAAGGCGGGCCCGATCGGGCGGCCCTTCGCCCGATCGGGCGCGTGTTTTCTTAGGGCGCCTGTTTTCTTAGAAGCTGATTAGTTTAGGTTTAATTCTTATTTTAGGGGAGGTTTAAATACGTTTTGTACGGAATTATTAGTGACCTTCTTTCTTAGACTTTCTCTCTCTACTTAGTATTTTTTCTCTCTCCTAAATTCTCTCTAAACTTTTGTTCTTAATTCTCCCTTTAATTCCAGATTTATTTTGGTAACGATTCTTCTTCCCTTAATCTTAGTTGTTTATTTTATTCCTTTCATCATGATTTATTTTATTACCTTGATTAGTTTAGTTTTTAATATGTGTGAGTAGTTTAATTTCTAGGGTTTATGGGGATCTAATAAATAATATGAAGGGGTAAATTATTGTTGTTGATTATTAATGCTAGTTTAACTTCCTTTTGATTGATTTAATTCTCTGTGACTAGATTAGGCCTATCTTTTATGCATGAGTTTGACAATATTGATTCAAGAATTGAGAGATGAGAATTAATGTTTAGGTCTAGTTTCAATAGGCAAGTTAATTTATAAATGGTTAAGTCAAGATTCGAGGGATGGGATTTAATACCGGTAAATTTGTGTGATTGTAATATGTAGCGAGAGCCCTTTACAATCTGGTTAATTGATGCATTGATGATTGACTATTATTGATTATTGGTATTGCATGATAATTTCTTATTGAATTGTTTTAACGTTTTACAATTGCGGCTTGTAAAAGTATAGCAATATTAAATTGATGAATCGAGCAGATGTTAATTTGATATTAAAGGCTTTTTTTTCAATAAGAACTTAGATCTAGTAAATTGCGAGAGCCTGTTAGATCTATTTTGATTAATAAATTGCGAGAGCCTGTTAATCATGTTATTTATGCAATGTCAATGATTGATTACTATGTTTTACCCTGGAGTATTATTTATTGGTGAACCTATGCCCTAAATCCTTTCATATATTGTTTTCTTCCTATTCTCAACCTTAGTAGTTTAGTTTCTTACTTAATTATAAATATTGGTTACTTAAATAATTTAGATTATAATAATTAATTAGGAGTAAAAAGACTTGTTTGCCTGTGGAGATCGACCCTACTTCCCTATCTACTTTAGTTAGTGATTTAGGTAATTATTTTTTATTAGGGGATACGACTTTACCCTGTCATGATGCGATGGAATTTCATCTTCCACATCTACTTTTACTCCATCACTCCATGTAGTCAAAACCTTCTTTTAATTCTTTGCTTTCAATACGCTTACCGCCGCATAACCACGACTACCACCATAACCACAACTGTTGCCACTAGAAGCACGACTGAAACTGCCACTAAATTTAATTTCGAAGATCCGAGATTCTTTATACAAATCGAGTGTTTTAAAGTGATCAATTTTGAGATTTTACCGGAGCTCATAGTGCAGACGGGACGAGTTATAGAATATCGCCGGAGAAGAAGAGAATGGCGGTGAAATCGCCAGAAATGGACGGACTATGCTATAGTTAGAGTTGATAAAGATAAATAGATATATAATTTGGGGATAAGATGCGGTGATAGTTGCAATAATTTGTAAGAGGTGGATAAAGGATGGGAGGGATGTAGTGGGGAAGAGTATAGGGTTATACAGTGGGGAGGGGGTGTAGGGACTTCTACCTACCCTAGAGTCTAGGTAAAAATTTGTAAAATTGACTGAAGTGATTGGGCCTAACTGAACTGAATATAGCTGAAATGAATTGTTTATAAGAGGAAAAAAAATTAGGAATTGAACATAAATTAAGCTAACCACAACAGACCCTAAATAAAGCTGGAATGAATTGTTTATGAGAGAAGGAAATTTGGAACTGAGTTGAACTGAACTGAAATGAACTGATTTAAACTGATTGGAGCTGAACTGAACTGAAATTAAGTGGAACAAAACATGCCCTGAATAGAGCTGAAATGAATTGTTTATGAGAGAAGGAAATTAGGAAATAAAATGAACTAATTAGAATTGAACTGAAGTGAACTGATTAGAGCTGAACTGAACTGAAATTAAGCTAAACTGAACATACCCTTAGTTAACCCAAAAATTTTGTGTTCATTAAATAGAGCATCGTCATTAGGATTGCAGGTTTTTTTTTTTTTTTTCCTTAAAAAAAAAGAAGTAAGATTAAAGATCCTACTAAATCGATAACTCTCACAGGTTCAGCGACGCAGTGAGAGTAGATGGGAAGGTAAGTAAATCCCCTTACTCCCAAGCATTTTGTATTAGTTACTGGAATTCAAACTTGTGACCTCAAAATCACAAAGTGAGTTTCCCAACAACTTCACTGAGCTTTATTGGTGTCATTAGGATCGTAGTTGATACTCCATACTATAGTAGGAGAGGAGATTGGGATTTTATATTACGTACTCGACACAAAGAGGAGTATAAACTACGGAGTATAAAGCAAAGTCATTGGGATTTGATTCTTATACGGAGTATTATACTTGGTACAATACTTAATAATACTTAATAATAGTATTATGCTATTTAATAATGTGTATGACAGCTTGACAAGTCAATTCACACATGACTCAGATCTAACGTTCAATGCAACTAAATTATAAATTTCACCAAAAAAATAATTAATAATGTATGTACCGCTAAAAGTAACTACATAATCTATCTTATTTGTAGTCTTATACTACAGCACATATACTCGTAGGGTCGTAGTATTACACTATTACATAAATTAAACGCTCAAAGAAAGAGAAAAAAGAAGTGACAAAATGAACATCTTACAAAAGCTTATGTCAATGATCATGGCAATAATCCCTAGTTGGATTTTAATACCATTTGTGAAAATGTTTTTAGGAGGATCAATACTATTCAAGGATGATCAGGCTAATATGGATGGCAACGACACGGAGCTGCCAACGGAGCTTCGACACGAGCTAATGCCACGGCACTTGGCCGTGATATTGGATGGCAATCGGAGGTGGGCTAAGCAAAGAGGTCTTAGCCCTATCGGTGGTTACATCCCTGGAGTTAAGAGTTTAGATACCTTTCTTTCGTTGTGTTGCAATTGGAAAATTCCAATTGTCTCACTTTTTGTGTTTTCCACGGAAAATTGGCTTCGCCCTAAGGTGAGTTGTATAATTCTTGGCGTTATGGTTCTTAATTTATTACCCCGTGTTACTTTTACTTTGATGACGGCCTATTTAGTATAGGTCAATATTCGATGAAATAAGTTTTGATAAGAACTATCAATACTCTTTAGCTTATACGGCAGTTCAAATTTGAGCCATAAATTTAGATTAGTTGAAATGAGGAAAATATGTTCATGCAAGATTATTGCAAGCTAATTAAGCTTACCTAAAGAGCTAAAGGTTATTATTTCAGACAACAAGAACAACTCTCAACTTTTTTTTTTTTTTTTTTTTTTTTGTGAGGAAAAGAACAACTCTCAACTTAATACTTCATCAATTATTTTTTTACATGACATAGTTTGACTTTTGATCTTTGAACTACTCATGTACTCTGTTTTAATTTTTTTTAATAAATAAATAAATAATAGTGTTACTGTATGAGAAATCATATTGGACATATAGCATCTTTGTAAAGTATAAATAATATGGTAACTTTTTTCTTATAAACTGCTTCCTTTGTTCTTTTTTATTTGACCTGTTTCTTTTATCACGCTTGCCAATGCAAAACTTTAACGATCAATAACTTAAATTCTTCATAAGTAAAAATTATAAAAGTTATATATTATGATAGTACTTATTGAGACTAATACAAAAAAAATCATACATGAATATATTTTTTCTTACATATTATTTACAAAAGACGGTCAAAGAAGGGATGGTGAATAGTGTAAAAGTCAAAGCGGGTCAAGTAATAAAGAACGGAGGAAGTATAATTTAATAAAAAAAAATTACAATTAAAATTATAGATTGACAAGCGTGATAAAATAAAACAAAACAAATACACATAATAAAACAAAAAAAAATTAATAATTTTGCATTTGCACGTACGTTCTTCAATAAACATATTTGATCATGAATATCGTCGACTATCTTGTTTGGCAATTGGGCTGCTGGCTGTTGGCTGTCACTGCTTTGATTGGCTGGTTTGATTGATTATTTGTATTGTTTTTTTGTTGGTTGTTTGACTTTTTATTTAGTCTAAAAACATGTTTGGTAAAATTGGCTGTTGGATGTTATTAGTAACTTAGGTAGCCAAAAGCCAAAAGATACTCCAACTAGCTTTTTCATTTTGGCTTAAAAGCCAGCTTTTTAGTTAGTTGAAAAAGCCATTTACCAAACACAAATTTTGATTGTTTGACCAAATAAAAAAGCCAAAAAACAATAAAAAAAAACCATTTACCAAACAAACCTATTTATAAGTGAAAACTATATAAATTTGATATTTGAAAATTTTATTCAAAAGAAATATAATAGTAAGATCTTTCATGCTAATTGATTTTACTTTGACCACGTGAATTTTAATGAGTGGAACTCTTTAGTATTATACTCCGTAGTTCGTTCAATAAAAATTAGAAGACAAAACACGTGGATTTTCTTACTATGTAAGGTGAAGCATGAGCCAGCATCAAATTCTGTACCGCGTATTACGGAGTAATGAATGTACAACTACAAGTGTACAACCACTCCTTTTTTTTTTTTTTTTTTTTTTTTTTAAATAATGTACAACCAGTCAACCACCCTAAATATGCTACATCACCCTTAAATCATCTCCAATGGCGAAACTCAACTTTGAGTATTGAAAAAGAAAATGAGTTATTTTTTATCTTCAATGGTGATACCCCTACTTCCCAATTTAGCAATTCACGTGACATCTAATTTCCTAATAGTGAGACTGTTAGAGATATGAGATATCGAAAAATATATGTGTGATATATTTTCCGTAGATATCATAAAGAGAATAATATATTTAGTTTTATTTATGTTAAGATAATATTTAGTGAATATATCGTTAGAATATATGATATATTTTGTATGAAGTTTGTTTCCTATCTTATGAGATTAGGTATTGTATAAACATTCAACCTGTTGATGAATAATATAATAAAGCAATACAAGCCATTCAATTTTATTTCCTCTCTAATTAATCATGGTATCAGAGCCTGTTACTTTCAAAGTATGACCCACCAAATCATATTATAAGGGTATGTTCACATTTACTTAATTTCATTTCATTTCAGTTCAGCTCCAATCAGTTCATTTTTCAGGTCTTAATTTCCCTCTCTCATAAAATATTAATTTCATCTCAGTTCAGTTCAGCTCCAATCAGTTCAGTTCAGCTCAGTTCAATAATGTGAACAGACCCTAAATTTTTTTTTTAGAAAAAAAAATAAAATTAAAACTTAAATAAATTACAAAACATATTATAATATAGATAAGGGCCACACTTTTTTTCAAATGAGACTCAAAGTTGATTATCTAAATTTAGCAACTTTCTTTCGGAGTTGCTAAGTTTAGATACCAATTTATTGGTATCCTTTGCAAAAAAATGCTCTCTCTCCCTTCTGAAGAAACTCCCTCTAGTCTCACCACTGGAGATAGTCTTAGCTTGAATACACTTTCCTCGTAACAAAGTCATCGGTATATCAACAAGTGTACATATAATAAGACTATGTGGAGCTAATCATGCAAGTTTATTATTATTATTATTATTATTATTTATTATTATTATTATTATTATTATTATTATTATTATTTGATACTCTGTATTATAAAACTATACGTTAATACATACTTGTATTAGTTGTATATAACAATATCTTATAATTGTATGACTACATTTTATTTAGAAAGTAAGATTGTTGGCCAAAGCTTTCAAATTTTTAGCATATGAACTCAAAATTTAATTTTATGACGGAGAGAGGGAGTATTAGCCACTCAAAATGAAATTAAACATTTAAAGGGATTTGGCATGCAACATAATTATTATAATTAAGCTGCAAGGAACTTGTTATATTAGTTGGAGGATAATTGAAGTAAATTGGTAAATTTTACAAAGCCTTTAAATTTTATTTTATTTATTTATTTATTAAAAAAAAAAACCTTAATTTCGGTTAGGGTGTTCAAATAAGTACTGTTTTCATTATTGATATTTCAACAGGCGGAAACTGATTTCTTGCTGGAGCTTTTGGAGCAAAATTTACTACGAATTTCTCGTAGGTATGAACTCTGTCCTCTTAATTCGAATGATTGTTCAAAGCATTGAGCTTATTAACACTTCTTTTAGTTGTAAATTGAAGTTAGATGCCCCTTATTGACCTTTATTAGCGTTTATTTTTCTTTAACTTAACAAATATATAATTAGCGTAGTGCTATATGTAGTCCTTAGGAGTACAATTAAGCTTTTGACTTCTTTTCTTGTTTGGTAAATATCTAGGATTGCATGAAAAAATCACGCACAATTTAGTGTAATTAATGAGTACGAAGTAAATCTTATACGAAGTGTTAATGCTTTCCTCTTTTTAGCTTCTTAATTCTTATATAGGGCTATGTAACTTCGTATTCATTAATTACATTGATTTGTGCCTCAAAAAAAATGTATAGGGTTATGTATAACACTTTTTTTAAAATTATGATCTAAATTTATTTGACAAAAATAAGGCTAACTGACTAAGGGCTTGTTCACATTTACTGAACTGAGCTGTAGTATTGAACTGATTGGAGCTGAACTGAATATTTTATGAGAGATGGAAATTAGGAGCTGAACTTAACTGATTGGAGCTAAACTGAACTAATTGGAGCTGAAATGAAATTAAGTAAATGTGAACAGGCCCTTAACCTCATTAAGCCATTCATGTCCAAGAAAATACTATCAAATAACTCTTGGATAGGAGTTCTATTTTTAGAGGATTTTTCTGAACTTATTACATACCATTCTTTCTCACCAATGTCAAAAATAAAAATTGATGAATAAAATATATATTTGAATATTCTTTTTAAGTCGATTTGACCATATTCTTTCTTATATTACCTTCATTAAATATTATGTGCAACTTTAGAATATTTTATATCTCACAAATAATACCCCAAAGTTGCACATAACATTTAACGGAGCCACGGAGGTACATAGTAGATCATATCAGTGACAATTAATTATCGAAGTCCTAAAATTTGACTCAATTATTAACAATGTGGCAAAATTTTAACCAAGTACTTATTTTAATTTAACAAGTGTTAGTTAACCTTACCCTTAAATTACTAACTCTGTTACAGGTTATGTGCAACGATTTGACATAAAGCAGAGAGGAAAAATGTCTAATTGTTGCACATAACTTGTAACGGAGGTAGTATGTTTTAATCAGGTACTTCATTGAATAATTATGTTTCTGTACGACACTTGATCTGACTAAATGGAGTAGTGGCTATCACACGTTAGAACTTCCTTTCCGGTTCCAGTAGATCTTTGGATCGATTCTCATCCTGCTCTTGTGACTCTCTAAACACCTAAAAAAAACATGTTACATTCTATTGTGTATAGGGAAATGATTTTGGCATACTACAAAAGTGATTTAGGCCCACTTATTGTAAGAGCCTAGTTTTCTATACACCTCTCACATGAAAGTTTTCCAATATGAATAATTGGTGTATCAAAATTAGCTTCCTTGTACACAACTACACAGTTGAATTAATTAGAATGTAGCATGATTTTCCTTAGAGCTTGCTGCATGAACGACATACTAATTGAATTAATTAGATTATATTGATAAACAGTTATGAAGGACGAATCTCAGTGATTGGTGATACATCTTTACTGCCCAATTCCTTACAAAAAGCAATTCAACTTATTGAAGAAAAAACAAAAGACAACACCAAAATTCATCTAATTTTAGCAATAAGTTATAGTGGCCAAAATGATATTGTTCATGCTTGTCAAACTATTGCTACCAAAGTTAAGGATGGCCTTCTTCAACCCGAAGATATAACCAAGTCTTTGTTTGAGGAACATCTTCGAACTAAGGTAACGGACGTTCCTGCTCCGGATTTGCTCATTCGAACAAGCGGCGAATTACGTATAAGTAACTATTTTCTTTGGCAATGTGCTTATAGTGAAATGTACTTCACTAATACACTTTGGCCTGATTTTGGAAAACAAGAGTTTATTGAGGCTTTACGTTCATTTCAACAAAGAGGGAGACGCTTTGGCAAAGTATAAATTTTGTTTAATCAATTGTAATTATATTATACTCTCTCTGTATTTTATTACTTGCTTTATTTACACTTTTTACATATTTATTTGACCTACTTTGATTAATGTTTGTAATTTATAAATAAGAAGAGATTTAGTCTTGCGAGTATGGAATCATCTAGTAATAGATTATTAATTTTCAACTGTTATAATTTATACTTATTGATAATTGATATTACTGCTTAAAAATTTGCTTCGGCATACGTGGATAGAAGAAATGAAGTAAATAATAAAATACAAAGGGAACTGTTGGGGAGTCAAATTAAACTACTACTAAGGATTAGCAGTTTCATTAATTCACTCCACAAGTAGTTCTAGCCCATCACGTTTGTCCACGAGTGAGTTGTGGGGTCATGTCTGATCTTTTTTCTCCTCTTGGATTCTCTTATAACGTTTCCTTAACTTCCTTTTTAATGAGAAGTTAAAAGGATTGACTAAGCTTCATAATTTTAATTAAACTCTCTGTCTTTTATCTTCTTTAACTTTTCATATAGCCTTGGTAATTTTATAAGTACAGTGGAGAGAAATCAAATAATAACCTTAATTAAGCTAGCTAAACACATTTTATAAGTTTATATGACTCCACCTCTCAATCTTCTTTCCATGTGAAATAATATTCCCTTTGCTCATACAATTTAAGACTACTTCAACAATCATAAAGGAAGAAAAACAACAACAAAATTTTCTAATATCACCATAGAAGACAGACATTGGAAAATGGCCATGGATTTCTTGTTTGATATTCTTCACAACTTACAAAGTATCATTCTCAACCGACACTTCCTTATACTTGAGGCGTACTTTCGTGTTGTATAAACGTAGTCTTCAACCAGATGAACAAAGCCATTAGCGGATACTAGCATATCCATATTCAATTGTTCATACACAATGTTGGATTTCGGGAAAACTCCTCAATTTAAAGTGTGTACCATTGATAAATATATATAGTGTCACAAGACAAGACCTAAACACGATAGGAAATTTAGTTTGATAAGGATACAATATATACAAATATATCCGACAATTACGACAAATATTATCTAAATATAATATCCATCACACCTCCGCAATCGTAGCGGGAAGAGGTCGTACGCTAAGACTGGATCTGAAGTCCAAAAGAAGGTCTCGTGGTAGGCCCTTAGTGAAGATGTCTGCGAACTGATATCTAGAATGAACATGAAGAACCCAAACCTCGCCTTAAGCAACCTTTTCTCGAAAAAAATGAATATTCATCTCCACATGTTTGGTGCGTTGGTGTTGAACTAGGTTGCTAGAAAGGTAGATAAGGCTGACATTATCATAGTAAACAATAGTAGCCTGACGGAGAGGACAATATAGCTCCAATAAAAGATCGATAATGAAGCCAACATGCCTTAGAGACAATAACGTGTGCGACGACTCGATATTCAGCTTCTATACTCGATTTAGACAAAGTATGTTGACGCTTCGATGACCAAGCTGGAAACGAGGTTATGTCCACGAGAAAAAAACAATAACCCGATGTGGAACGACGAGTGTCGGGACAACCTCCCCAATCAGTGTCAGTATAAGTAATTAAGCGAGTAGAAGCAGATGGGTTTAAATGTAAGCCATGATCAATGATACCCTGTATGCAACGCAGAATGCTTTTCAAAGCACTATAATGCTATTCCCTAGGATCATGGATGATGTACCACATAGGCAATATCCGGCCTAATAAAAGTGAGATATTGGAGAGCGCCTGCTAAGCTATGGTATAGGGTAGGATCCTAGAATGGTGGTCCCGAATTTGCACTAAGTTTAGACTTAGTGTCAACAGGAGTACGTGGCTGCAGGTTTAAATGAGACCATACTTGCATGCTCTAGGATCTCTTGTGCATATTTCTGTTGAGACAAAAGTAAGTATGATGGTATTCAAGTCACTGCAATGCCCAAAAAATAACTCAAAGCCCCCAAATCAGACATGGGAAATTCAGTTTATAGCTGAGAAATAATTGTGGCTCTCAACCTATCGTTAGAAGTGGCTAATATAATGTCATCAACATATAGAATAAAGTATGCCATATCATCACCCTACTAAAGAATAAAAAGTGAATTATCACTTTTAGAAATGATGAAGCCCAATTTCGGCAAAAATAATGCAAAACGCTGATACCAAGCTCGTGGAGCTTGTATTAAACCATATAGAGCCTTACGAAGTTGGCATACGAAATTGGGTCTTTGTCGATCAAAAAAACCTGGAGGTTGGTGCATATAACAGTTTCTTGCAAATCAACATGTAAAAAGACATTTTTCACATCAAACTGATGTATAGACCACTTCTTAGCCATAGCAAGACTGAGAAGTGTGCGAAAGGTCGCTGGTTTTACTACCAGACTGTAGGGAATATTTCAAGCATTACCCCAATCTTGAACCCCACTGTGATCATACACTAAAGTACGGTGGCGTCCAAAGGGAAGGAAGCTAGAGCAAAAGAGTCACCAACAAGTTGTAGGAACTTGTAAACCGTTCACAGGGTGAAGGTTACACCCCTTAACGATCCAGGAGATCATCAACTCCAATAGGTCTGGAACCATGACGGGTAGTTCAGGGATGAAGATAAAAATCCAACCTAAAAGAGATTGAACCTGCCCTAATAATAAGACTCTACTTTATTCTTCTCGTATTCATGTGCGCTTTCTGACTAACATGCAATCAATAGGATTAACCCTAAACTTGTTTATCTATATTGGTTGAATATTAATGCACAAATAAAACTATTATTTGCGATCTTTTGAATTATAATCAAATTAACCCTAAACAAGATTATTAATTATCTTATTAAGCGTGATTACAAGTACAAATTCCCTTTAAACATGCATAAAAGGTGCAATCAAGCAATAACAATAAATATCAAGCAACATAATAATAATCATCAAAATAATAATAATAATAATAATAATAATAATAATAATAATTAATCATAATTAACATAATCATGTTCATGTTAAAGATAAAACATAATAATAATAGCAAGATCCTAGGCATGATACTAACAAGATTAATAACAAAACCTAGCATATCACCAAACAACAAAAATCAAAGCTTTAACCTTAACATGATACTAACATGCATATTAGGAAGAAAATAGGAAGCATCGCAGGAATCACAATTTTCATATTTGATATTAGAAATTATAGTTGTTACCCTAAACATGATACTAGGAAGATCAAACGCCCTAACATACATGACACTAGGAATCATAATAACAATCTAGACATGATTTCTGAATCATAATAACAATGAATCAATTAAAGCACTTACTTGGATGTCTCATACCTCTTTCTAATAACAAAATACACGCATTAGTAACTTTAAATCAAACTATTAAATTAAATAATTGAAAGAGAGATTAGGGACCAAACCCTCAGAAATTAAAACCTTTCACGTTTAGGGCGAAGGCAACTTCGAACTTGGCTAGGTGTGTCTAGCTTAGTGCTAATGTATGAGGAATTGTGTTTGTAAAAAGCTAGGCTTAGAAAGAGAGAGAGAATCAAGAATTTCTTGATGAGAGTTGGTGGTTGTAGATTATCAAAAACGGAGTTTTTAGGAAACTATTTATAGAGAAAATCAGCCAAAAAGATAGAAAAACAAATAAGAGTATCGACGTGAAAAAACGAAGTTAGCGCCAGGCGCTGAACATTAGCGACAGGCGCTAATGACTGGCGTTAGGCGCTAAACAATTTTTTTAGGCGTTTTCTAAATTCAAATAAAATTTAGCCGTACAGAAGGACAAAATCGTATTTTCCTTAAAAACACTCTTTTATTCTGATTAAAACTCTAAAAAGTCAACAAAAGTCAATTTATCAATGCTAATTGAATTATGAATGAAAATAACCTTCTAGAAGAATCTAGAAGACTAAAACAATTCCTAATTGAATTAGGAATGATAAATCCATATTAGGCCCTCATCTAAATCATTGGGCCATATATAAGGCTCAAACCGGGCTCAGTTTAGTAATTTGGTCATAACTTCCTCATTATTCATCGGAATTGGGCTTATAATATATCGTTGGAAAGCTCTTTTCAATCCCCATCCAACTACACTATTATTGGACCCTTTCCATGGACCAACCAAACTGGATTGGATGTTTTCTTAAAATAGGTTTTCAAAAACAAAGAGAAAAGAAATTAAAACTATCCGCAACACTAAACTTTCTACACTTTCACTTCATTCGATTATGATTCGACGTGAAAGGTACTCATCACCGGGTTTGGTTTTGGGGAGACACAAATGAGTGTCTACAGAAGCCCCCACTTTGACTGAGTTTGGAGAAACGCAAGTTTCGAAAACAAAAGTCAAAGTAGCGGTAGGGACGGAGAATGAATCAGAACTTTCTGCGATCCTAAATCATTCTTGTAACGCCGATACTTGCAAAACTAGCATTAGTTAAACAGATAAGAGAGATAAGAAACACGTATCTTGCACCGTCGAGCACACGTCTCCGAAGGTAACCGATTTGTTGCTGTTGCATTGCTGTTGTTGTGACAACCTTCCACAATCTATGGAACACCATCTTGTTGTTTTGATGTTCACTCTTCTCTGAACAATAGAGCTTTTTTTGGATATGTTCACGTGTATCTGAACAATGGAGCTTTTTTTTTTAATGTGTCCATGCGTCTTTGAACAAAGAGCTTTTGAATGATATGTCCACGCGTCTCTGAACAAAGAGCTTTTGAATGATATGTCCACGCGTCTCTGAACAAAAAGCTTTTGATGATATGTCCACGCGTCTCTGAACAAAGAGCTTTTGAATGATATGTGCACGCGTCTCTGAACAAAGAGCTTTGATGATATGTCCACGCGTCTCTGAACAAAGAGCTTTTGAATAATGTGCCCACGCGTCTCTAAGCAAAAGAGCTTGAAAGAAATGTTCACGCGTCTCTGAACAAAAGAGCTTGAAAGAAATGTCCACGCGTCTCTGAACAAAGGAGCTTGAAAGAAATGTCCACGCGTCTCTGAACAAAGAGCTTTGATGATATATCCACGCGTCTCTGAACAAAAGAGCTTGGACGGAATGTCCACGCATCTCTGAACAATAGAGATTTGATACTTGAATGTTTGTTGCGATAATATTT